CCTTTTAAAATGAATTTATTTCAAAGGAGTTGTTTTAAAGAAACAACAGGCTGGGCATGGTGGCTCATGCTTATAATCCCAGCACTTTGGGAGGCCAAGGCAGGTGGATCACCTGAGGTGAGGAGTTCAAGACCAGCCTGGCCAACATGGCAAAATCGTGTCTCTACTAAAAATACAAAAATTAGCTGGGCATGGTGGTGGGCACCTGTAATCCCAGCTACTCAGGAGACTGAGGCAGGAGAATCGCTTGAACTCAGGAAGCAGAGCCAAGATTCTACCACTGTACTCCAGCCTGGACGGCAAGAGTGAAACTCAGTCTAAAAAAAAAAAAAAATGCAACAAATTAGTACCAAGTGGCAGTAGAGGTGGTCTGAATATATGACAGAAAAGTGGTTTGAGACCATCTGTGAGCTGCTGCCTTTGTGGAAGCTATTTGCCTGTGGCGGGCATGATGAGATTCATAGCACCCTTTCCCCCCCACCCAACAAAGCGGGATTTCTGTTCCACGCAGGTTGAGGTTGTTCTGGGTGTGAATGGTCACCAAAGCCCTAAAGGTGAGAAGGATGAAGCTGACATGTGGTTCCCCAGGCCAGCACCTGGGCAAACCTCTGGGCAGCTCAACCTGGCTAGGATGAAATGAATCAAAACCCGTCAGCCTCAGGTTGGAACCAGTGAGACTGAAACTGAAAATGAGGTCTTGTCAAGCCCAGGGCAGAGGAGGTGCAGGAAGTGAGAGCCGCTGACAGCCCAGCTTGAACCGTGGGGTGGAGGTTTCACCTCCCCTTGGAAACACTTAATGAGATTATAGCATCAGTTTCTGAAAAATGCATTTGCATTTTAAAAGAAAAATTTCCCTCTATTGAGGGTGACTCCCCACCACCCCCTTCCAAAGACAGGATACAATTCAAATCCATTTTTCCCTTGAATAGTAAGGAATAATAGATAATATTTCTCAAGTGGTTCCTATGAACAATCTGGGGTCACTGTGCCAAGGGCTGCATGAGTGTTATCTCTTTACTCTGCACGACAACCCATTAAGGAAATTCTTATCATCAGTACGATGGAAATGGCAGAGAGAAGTGAAGGAAATATTACTAAGGATTCAGAGCCAATATCCCCGCTAAAGTCACCTGGGCTTTCTCAACACCACTCCGTCTTCATCCACCCACCCCTTCAGTCACCCATAAATAATTTTTAAGGATTTACCATGAGCCAGGCACTGATTGTATGCTAAACAGGAACAGAAATCTAAATATGTACATATACATATTTATATGTATGTATATGTAAATAATTTTATAGATATATAGACAATTTGTAGTGTCAATATGTATTAAATATACATATTTAATACATATTTATTGTAATATATTTATATGTATGTATATGCACATATTTAATACATATTGTATTAATATAAATATTTATATACACATATTTATATTAATACAAACTTTAAATCTGAATATGTAGATGTACATATTCAGATTTAATGTTTGTATTAATATAAATATGTACATCTACATATTTAGATTTAATATTTGTATTAATATATATCAAGTTCTTTGAGCACACGGCTGCCTCAGGACCTTTGCACTTGCTGTCCTCTCTGTACATAAGGCTTTTGTTCTGCATAGCCATGCGGTACCCTCCTTTACCTCCTATGGGTCTTAAGTGTTACCTTCTCAGGGACCTCTTTTCTAGACACCCTAACAAAAACTGCAACCCTCCATCCTTGCATTCCTCATCCTCCTCCCCTGCTCTTTTCCTTCACAGCACACGTCACCACGCAATGTGCTATATCCTTTGCTTCTTTATTGTCGCTGTCAGCCTTTTGCTTTGTCAGCACCCAAGTGTGGGCTTCATGAGGACGGGGTTTTCTATGCGGTCTCCCTCATACTTAAAACCATATCAGGCACATGGCTGATTAAACATTGGTTAAATAAATGAATGAACGCATAAATGAAGGAAGGGGCAATTCCTTTCATGAGGAAAGACCTCTCTGATGAGGGCTGAAGGAGGGCTGGTCCTGCAAAGCCTGGGTGAAGACTGGTCCAGGCAGGGGGAACAGCAGGTGCAACGGCTCAGAGGGCAGAATAGTGCTTCTCAGTTAAAGCAAAGGAAAGGGGGGCTGAAGGCAAAAGGGAGGGAGATGAGTTTGGGAGGCTTCCCGGAGAGACATGCAGGGCCTGGTAGCCAAGGATAAGAAATTCAGATCTTACTCTATACTTTTTAAGCACACTGAGTCCACTCCCTGGTTTAGCTCATTTCATCCTCACATTGATTCTGTGAGGTTGGTGGAATAATTACTCCTATTAAACAGATGGGCCTATTAAGCAAATGGGCCTCAAGGAGGTTAGGACACTAGCCAGGGGCCCATGGCGGTAAGAAGCAGAGGTGGGAACACATGGAAGCCACTGGGGACCTTCTTGGGTCCATGCTCCCTCCAGAGTCCCCCTGAGTGCAGGTCCTGAGATTCATGACTCTCTGTGGTCCTCCTTTGAGTAGGACCCTTGAAAACACCTAGTAAAGACTCTAACAGAAGGAATGGCCCAGGAAGAGGGAGAACAGGAGGCCAGGCGGGGGGACAGGCATAATCCGGCACTTGGGGTTTATGCTCCAGGGTGGAATATCCCCTGTAGAGCCTCTGGAGCTCACCACCTGCCCCAGGAGAAAGAAGGTGTGTGTGTGTGTAACCTGACCCCACTGGCGCTACCTGTTCTGAATTGGAGCAACCTCTCTCTGCTCCATCGCTTCCACCCTCAAAGCCTTCACCATGGTAGCCAGCTTGTTCCAGGGCAGTAGAAACGGCACCAACAGCTCCAAGTCACAGAAAGGAGCGTGTTTGCGGATTCCACCACTGTGGGAGAACTGAAGATCTAGGGTCCGGAGACTCTTACAGCTTGGCAGAAAGTGAGTTAGAAGTGGTTTACAAGTGGGAACTCTGGAACCGGAGTGCCTGGGTTCGATTCTGGTGTGACTTTAACCTGGTTATGTAACTCCTCCATGCCCCAACTTCCATGTCTGTAAAATGGGCTTATAGCCTAGTAGGGGTATAATAATTAAATGAGAAACAGTACAGAGTACTAATCAGGAGAATAAACTCTGAAGTCAGACTACCTAGGTTCAAATCTAGGCTATCATCCGTGACATCTCAATCAAGCTGCTTAACCAATCTGCGTTTCGCTTTCCTCCTCTGTAAAACGGGGATAATAACAGTATCGACTTTTTAGAGTTGTGAAGATTAAATGAGTTAATAGAGTAACGCCAGGCACGTGGTTTGCTCTGATGGTGATGGAGAGGCAGGAGAAGAAGGCATCCAGATTTACGTTGCTTTGAACAGTGCCTGGCAGAGAGTACGTGCTCATTAAAATTTAGGCCAAAAGGGAGGGGCAGGGATTCATCTCTAGGACAGCAGCCTCTCAGCTCCTACCAGTGGCAGCCAGTGGGGAATGTGGACCTAGCCTTTTAAGAGAAACCAAAACTTCAGGTTTTTATGTGAACGCTCCCAATTTTTACAAGTTCACTTTTACTTAAAACACCGTGTAAACCAAACAAAGCCATACTCCAGGGCCAGATGTGGTTGTAGGCTGCCCTGTGTGCAGCCATGGTTTTGAATTCACCGTGGTTATTTGGTTCAGAGGAGAGCGATGATGGAATGGTAAATTTAATCATGCACCATGCCCCCAGGGTGTGCCAGACCCTTTACATCCCATTGCCTCTCTTCCTCCTTGTAATCAGTGCCCTACGAGGTATGCCATTATGCCCCCATTTGACAGGTGAGAAAACTGAGGCGAAGAAAGCTGAAACAGTTTGCCTGAGATCAATTGGCTGAGAAGCAGCAGGGCTGGGATTCCCCCCTCAGCAGCCTGTGCCCTTTCCTTTACTACCAGCTCTCAAATGAAGACAGTTGACTTGTGTCGTCTCTACTTGAAAGAAAATGATGAATGTCTTTGAACAGGGCTCAGTAAATTTTCTCACACTCTCAAAGGCTCCAGGCAGTTTACACGAATGCTCCAAAGTGCCAGGAAGAATGAGGGTGTACTCTGTACCATCCAGTTTTGGCATGGGAGCCCAAGTCACTTGGTGGTACTTTCATCAGGGCAGTTCCAGCTTTGTAACCAGCATGCAAGGAGAAATGTCATTGTCTTGCTGACAGTAATAATTACTCATGGAAGCCTGGATTGGCTTCAAATCCAGTTCCTTGTGATGTTATATTCCAGACACAAGTCACTTTGGTTTTCCATGACAGTTACACATAATATGTGCCCCATGAGCTGGCGTCAAACAGATAGTGAAGGAGAACAATGAGAGGGGGTCTCCAGACACCAGCAGCAAATCCGAAAGCCAGCCAAAGAAAGGGTTAAGCCCAATGGTTAAACATAATAGCTTAATGCCTTTTGCTAACTTCAAGCTCTACCAGGAAGGCTGACAGATCCCAAACAGAACAAACAATAGCTGGAATTGTTCTAGTGAAAACTAGTTCGACTGCATCATTTGCCAATACTTTTTAAAACAACTTTAATTCTTCTCTGCTTCCTTGACTCCAGCCCGACCTGAAAGCAAGAGGCAGATGAGTTCTTGTCCTAATGTCAAACCTCTGTAAGCGAGACGCCTGCTTGGACAAGGGGATGGCAGAGGAGAGCAGAGAGGACAGAGCTCAGAGCCAGAGACAGATACTGCAAAACACATCCAAGGGCTGGGCCTGGGACGCTCCCCAAAGCGACTATCATCTGTGGTGGTGTCAGCATTTCTTGGAATTGGAGACCAAGAAAGGAAGTTCAAGACATGAACGAGCACATTTTTACCTCAAACGATGAGACAGAATCGTTAGAGATCTATGCCAAAGTTTTGGTTCAGAGGCAGGCATTTAAATGGCAGGGGGGAAATTGCCCTAAGGACAGTACTTTGGAAATGATGCGTGTCTGTCGCTTACAATATTCTCAGGGTGCGCTAGGACCACCACACCTGTTGACCCAAACTCACAGCAGGAAGCCTACCTTCTCTGTCACTCAGAGTCCACACAGCGGCGTCAAGACGGTTAAACTTCAGTTTATCCAGACAATCGCTGTTTACAGTGAGGCTGGGTGAGATCACTAGTTCTAGCATTTCCTTGTACCTGAAAGAAAACAAAGGGAAATATAATTTATTCATTAATTATACATGCTTACTAATGATTCCTATTTCTTTCCCTAAGAGTATAAATATTAAAGCTGATTACCTAAACCCAGCCTTCTTATAAATTCTACATGATAAAAATTCACTAAACTTTTCATCAAAGGGAAATGAGAAATTAAAATGAAGTTCTTGCTCCCCGCTGGAGAATACACCCAGTTGATTAAAACATTCCCCTCCTTCTTGCTGTATTTCGCCATTAGAAAAATTATATTTTGGTCTCTTTTAAATGTCATCTAAATGAGCCAGAGCAAACTAGGGCAACTTCCCAGCTGAGGAAGAGAGAGATAGGCAGAGAGGGAGTGTCTGGATTTAGATTTCTAAAAACCAGAGGCTTGGGGAGAGCATAGGGTTGACTGCGATTAAGAGAGAAAAACAAACATGGTACTACTCGCATGGACAGAGAAAAGCTCAAAAGGCATCAGTGTCATTAACAACTCTCTAGGTGGCAACACTCCATAGGTCATCACTGTGGTCCTGACCAAGAGAGAACTGGCTCCTGAATTACCCATCATTTTTATAATATGTTATGGGGGAACAGGGGAGAGTAGGAACGAGTCTCCCTCGGTCTTTCTCATTTTTTAATTGAAAAATTTTCCAATTCTTGCACCATGGTGGTAGTCACTCCTTCTAAATTCTGGCCAGGTACAGTGGCTCACACCTTCAATTCCAGCACTTTGGGAGGCCAAGGTAGGTAGATCACTTGAATCCAGGAGTTCAAGACCAGCCTGGGCAACATGGTGAAAACCCATCTCTACAAAAAATACAAAAAACTTAGCTGGGCATGGTGGCACATGCCTGTAGTTCCAGCTACTCAAGAGGCTGAGGTGGGGGGAATCACTTAGCCCCGGGGAGATGGAGGGTGCATTGAGCTGTGATTGTGCCACTGTATTCCAGCCTCGTTGGCAGAGTGAGACCCTGTCTCAAAATAAATATTAACAAATAAATTTCCACCAACTGGGTTTAGAAAATCAGGTTTCTAGGTAATGCACACACCACTATACATGGTGCATCAATTTTCCAAGGTCTAAACTACAACCAGTAACATTTAACAGTTGTCTTCAGAGAAAGGCTAAATTTATTGTGAGCACGTCGTTATCACAAGGTCATCCCTGGCAAGATCAGTTATCATTTGGTTAATGAAACACAACGTAGCGATCATAGGTGTCCTGCTTATAAACTCAGATCCTGTTGTAAAAAGGTTGCCAATTCAAATCCCAGTTGTGCTAGCCACTACTTTGAGCAAGTTATCAAACTGCTTTAAGTCAAAAGTTTTCTTTTCTGGAAAATGGTCACAGTGAAGATTTAAAAAGACGATTCATGTAAAAAAAAGAAAAGCACTCTTTTAAATAGACAGCAAACTAAATGCTTATTCAAAATAAAGTTAAAAAATACAGTCACCCCTCGGTATCCCAGGAGGGTTGTTTCCATGACCCACCCCTGCCCCCAACCATGGACACTAAAATTGGCAGGTGCTCAAGCCCCTTATATAAAATGATGGAATATTTGCCTATAACGCACACACATCCTGCCATATACTTTTAATCATCTCTAGTTACTTACAATGGCAAACACAATGTAAATGCTATAAATCGTTGTATATGCACTGTTTTGTTTTAAAATATATATTATTTTTATTGTTATATTGTTATTTTTTACTGTCTTTTTTGCCCCTGAATATATATACATATATATATATATA